CTTTCTTTCTTTCTTTCTTTCTTTCTTTCTTTCTTTCTTTCTTTCTTCTTTCTTTCTTTCTTTCCTTCCTTCCTTCTTTCTCTCTCTCTCTCTCTCTCTCTCTTTCTCTCTTATTCTTTCTTCCTTCTTTCCTCCCTCCCTTTCTTTCCCTCCCTCCTTTCCCAGCCCCAAACAACTCAAGGTGGCAAATATATCTAATATTCCTTCCTCCTTCTATTTTCTCCTCATCAAGCACCTGTGAGGTGAATTGGACTGAGAGAGAGGGATGGATCCAAGTCATCTGGCTGCCTTAGTAAGGCAGAATTAGAATTCATGATCTCCCGCTTTCTAGCCTGGTGCTTTAACCACTAGACCAAACTGGTTTTACACATCTATTCCCCTTGCCACGAATTGATTGATGTATAGGTGCAGCAAGCCAGTCTAGCCAAAACTGAATTTCTACATTCCCTTTCCTAACAGTTGCTACACCAGCTTCATGGCTCTGTTCCATATTTTGCACACAATTGTACTTGAATCTGTCTGCGGGCAAAGGGAAGACTTAAACTGGGTAAGCTTACATCATTAATTTTCTGTCTTCCTTATCTTCAGCTCAGGTTGCTTCCACATACAATAACTCACTATTCTGTCTAACTCTGGATAAGCAATTCCCTTTAGATAGCGCTTCACTCTTAAATACAACCCAGTTTTCTTGGTTTGGTGCATTCCCCTTTCTACAGAGTCTCCCTTCTGCTGATCTAACGTCCAGTTTAGAGCTTGACAGACTTCCTATCCTGTGTTGGGTTTGATCTTGTAGAAACTTATTGGTTTCTTTTTCTTTCAATCTTTCTCTGTTGGCATCTCTACTTCAAGCAGCTGCCAAAAATGCCATCACAGTTCTAGGCTGCATAAACAGAGGGATAGAATCAAGATCATGTGAAGTGTTAATACCACTTTATAATGCCTTGGTAAAGCCACACTTGGAATACTGTATCCAGTTTTAGTCGCCACGATGTAAAAAAGATGTCGAGACTCTAGAAAGAGGGCAAAGAAGAACAACAAAGATGATTAGGGGGCTGGAGGCTAAAACATATAGAGAACAGATCCTGGAACTGGGTATATCTAATTTGATAAAAAGAAGGACTAGAGGGGACATGATAGCAGTGTTCCAATATCTCAGGGGCTGCCACAAAGAAGGAGTCAAGCTATTCTTCAAAGTTCCTGAGGGCAGGACAAGAAGCAATGGGTGGAAACTAATCAAGGAGAGAAGCAACTTGGAATTAAGGAGAAATTTCCTGACAGTTAGAACAATTAATCAGTGGAACAACTTGCCTCCAAAAGTTGTGAATGCTCCAACACTGGAAGTTTTAAAAAAGATGTTGGATAACCATTTGTCTGAAGTGTAGGGTTTCCTGCCTAAGCAGGGGGTTGGACTAGAAGACCTCCAAGGTCCCTTCCAACTCTGTTGTTCTATTCTATTCTATTCTATTCTATTCTATTCTATTCTATTCTAGACATCTGCAGGTTTGCAAGATGGTAGATGCAACCAACTATTGACTAATAGTCTTTTTAAATATATATATTTATTTTGTGCAGGACTTTGTGCAATTATAGGTACCATCTTGACTTTTGGCTAACTCTGCATCTAAAGCCCTTTGTTAAAGCCATTATTTTATGCTTCAGGTTGAGAACAAAATTTTCATTTTCTCTTTGTGGCAGCCTCTCAAATACTGAAATACCGCTATCATGTCCCCGCTAGTCCTTCTTTTCTCCAGAAAACCAAACCCAAATCCTGCAAGTGTTCTTCATATGTTTTAGTCTCCAGGCCTTTAATCATCTTAGTTGCTGTTCTTTGCACTTTTTCCAAAGTCTCCACATCTTTTTTGTAATGTGGTGACCAAAACTGGATGCAGTATTCCAAGTGTGGCCTTACTAAGGCTTTATAAAGTGGTACTAATACTTCATGTGATTTTGATTCTCTGTTTATACAACCAAGGATCCTTTTAACTTCATGAAAATTAGAGAGGATCCTATATGAGTTGCTCAGATTTCAGAATTGCATAGACGTTTTTCATTCCTTCTCACAATCTGTCCGATTCAAGGTAGCTCTTCCAATGTATGAGATATTTTAAGCGTTCTTGCATCTAGAATTCATAATCTACTCCACCTCATATTAATCTTACCCATCCACCAAAAGTGCAGAAAGGAAGAAAGTGGTAAATATCAAACATGAACATGAAATAACTGGGGAAAGTCAAGTTAAATTTTACTGAAGCAGGCAATTGTAGATAGAAAGCTTCTCTGCATAATGGACAATAAACCTTTGAGTCAAGCTTTCTGATAAGTGAGAGAACTGCAAAAAAGTAGAGGAAGGCCACATCGAATTCCCCGTCACAGTCTTGGCACAATCTTACACATTTATACTCAGACTTGGTCAAATCCAACTGTTTCTCTAAAAGAAACTATGCATCCTGGATAGCATCAGAGGCTTAAGGAAAAGCTGAGTTAGAACTTCTACAGGGCAGGTGACACTGATGGTGTCCATAGACTTCTTGAAAAGAAAACATGCTGATAAAGGTATACAGTGAATTGTTATAGAGCAAAATTCTGCAAGAGGCAATAAATCAATCCAATGGCCATGTTGATAAGACACCTAGTAGCTGAATAAATGTGTTCACAGCTTGTCTGCTTCTAATCGGTTCCTTGGCCTTTGCCACACTCATCATTTCACCATACTGTCAATATTGCATTTATTTCACAAACAATTATTCTGAATAAACCTTCTATCTGGCTGTATTCATTTGAAGGTGTTTTCTGACAAATGAACAAACACATTGTTGTACAAGCTAAGCAAGAATTTAAAAATGACAACAAATGACAACAAATTCAAATGAAAATAACTATTTATAAACGCGCATCAGACTTTAGCCGTATTTCCAAAAGATAAGAATATCAGAAACACAACAAAGAGCTTTGAAATGTGTCTTAAAATCATGGACATAGAAACCCCCCCCCAAAAATCCAATCAAACAAATTTCTAATCCTTATTTTATAAACACACACACACACACACGCACGGACGGACAGCTCTATAATGAACAACATTCAAATGGCTAATCTTACACTGGTGCTAATCTAATCAACTAAAAATCAATAAGAAGTTTAGTTGAAAAATCAAAATAAACCTTAAGAACAGAAACTTAAGAGTTACCTTGCTCCAGCCTGAAGCACAAAGAACGCTTGGCAGCTTCCATCTCAGGGCTTGGATTATCAAGAACATGTCGACACCACTGCAAAGGAGTCAATGATTTTTCTTGCTGCATGATGCCCTTAACAGGTGCAGCATATAGCCTAAATAGAAGCAGAGAAAAACTTTCAGGGAAGCATTCTTTAGTTTAGTTTACTTTATTGTCATTGTACCTCATACAATGAAATAAAATGCCATCTTCAGTGTACATTATGACTATAAAAATAAAATACAAACACACATTCTTCATATTCTATACACTGAATTGAAAACTCCTGATATTGCGTTAACATTGCACTATACAGTAGAATTCAATAGACTTACTGCTCTGGGCAGAAGCTGTTTTTCAGCCTATTTGTCCTTGTTTTTATTATCCTATACTGTCCGCCAGATGGTAGTAGTTCAAAAAAAGGGTGCCCAGGATGAGATGGATCTTTGAGAATGTTTTGAACATTTTTAAGGCAGCGGGAGCTATAAAGCTCTTCCAAAGTGGGGAGAGGGCAACCAATGATCTTCTGGGCAATGACTTTAACTGTCTGGAGTGCTTTCCTATCTGCCACTGTGCAATTGGCAAACTATACAGAGGTGCAGTAAGTTAAGATACTCTCTATGGTGCAGTGGTAGAAGGTCACCAGCAGTTTTTCCATTCAGTTGTTGTTTTCTGAGAAGTCTCAGGTAGTATAATCTCTGCTGGGCCCTTTTGACCAGTGCTAATATGTGAGCACCCCAGGTCAGGTCCTCTTTTATGATAACACCCAGAAACTTAAAACTGGTCACTTGCTCCACTTGGTCTCCATTGATAAGCAAGGGCTGGATGTCTGATCTGTTCCTTCTATAGTCCACTATAAGCTCCTTGGTCTTATTGGTGTTAAGGACCAAGTTATTGTCTCCACACCACAAAAGCAATTGGTCCACCTTTGTAGTGATGCTAGCTGTAATTTTCTACCTTTGGTGTTTGAAAGTGAATTACAAGTAATAAAACTATATAATGCTTGAAGCATATTTTAAACATTAGTTTTAGCCTTTCGTAAATCAGGATCATGTAACTATTTATTTCTCCAAGAATGGAGATAGCAATGTATGTCCATTAGTGAAATAATATGAGCCAATAGTTAAGCTCACAGCAAGCCTTGAACTGAACTTAAATACCACACAGGTAAATCCTCGACTTAACCATCATGGCACCAGAAGCTCCAGAATTTTAGTCATAATCCATTGTGGTTATAAGTCAAGGCACTACATGACTGGATTCGATTTTGCAACCATTTTGAACTCCACAGTTGTAAAGCAAATCAAATGGACATTGTCAGGTGCAATAAACCAGGAACCAAGATTGTTCGAATTAGTACAAGTTTATTCCATTTTATCTCTTTACAAAAATCTGAACTACTAATGGTCAAGGCAAATTGGAAGTAGAGAAGAGTCAATGGAATTCAAGGAGGGCTAGACTTAGGTCTCTTGTGTGCAAACTGATTGCATACTTGACCCCTCCCTGCGACTCAGAACTCATTACAACAGGTGCCAAAACAAGCTTTGATTCCAGGAAACAGAAAAGGTTTTAGGAAGTCTCATTCTGGTTCCTCTCTGATTCCCTGGAATATAAGAGAAAATGCAGTCTGGCCCGCATGTTGATCTTACAACAGCCTATCTCAATATAGTCGTAGACTTTTTGTGGCGTCTGTTTCCTGATCTGGACAACCTCAAAGGGCTGACAATAATCTAGTCTATAGTTGATCTACTCATTAAATACTGTATGTTAAAATTCTTACCAAAACCACTAGGAGTGGCAAAGTCTAAATTGAATATGTGGGTTAAACATGTGTCAAATCATACTAGCACATAACAAAGGAATACAAATCTAAAATGATTATTAAGATAATATTAAGATAACCATTAAGATAATCTTTAGGTGATTAGTGAAGAAACAAAGTGAGGAGAATAGGAGTGAGAAGGGGGCAGTTTGAGGGTGGGGAAAGGATATATTAGAAAAGGAAAAAAGTAAAATAATTTATTCACTAGTTTAGTCCATTCTTTTAGGTAGGTTCATTGCTACCTATAGACCAGGGGTCTTCAAATTTGACAGCTTTAAGACTTGTGGACTTCAACTCCCAGAATTCCTCCTCCAGTCATGTTAGCTCAGAAATTCTGGGAGTTGGAAGTCCACAAGTCTTAAAGCTGCCAAGTTTGAAGGCCCTTGATATAGACAGATTTAACCATAGTTTCAATTGGGAAAATGCCAGGGAATTTCTAGAAGCCTGGCACTCTGACAAATCAGCCATCAACAGACACACAGACATTAACAACATCTACAGACTATGCAAAAGAGGCAATCAACCAGCCCAAAAGAGAAAAAGACTCCAGCACTTCTCCACCAGTAATCAGTATTCCGATCAGCAAAGGTTAACTTCAGATCAACAATCAAGTAAGCAATACCTCAATCGAGAAATTGCCAAAGAGCCATCAGTAAACAGCCCAACCAAAGAATATCTAAGACTGCCCCCACCTACAGGCAGGACACCAGAATATAAACTGACAGCAAACAGGCCCCTTTATTGCTCTTTGATGATGTTGCTTAGTTAGGGTAATGAAATGTCTGCAAGAAAGCAAGCAAACTCAGAGAGCACCAAGGACCCCCCCCTCATTTCACCACTGAGCTATAAATATTCTCCTTTTTTGGTTGACATTCTCTATTTACTCATTAGCTCGTTTCTTTCCATGGTATGGTTAGAATTAAGATTCACAAGCCTTGGGAGATTTTTCTGTTGATTTTCAGGTTTACCACATTGAATTCTTTTAAACATAACTCAACTTCTTAAGGGACTGCAGCTGATGATAAAAAGAAAGGCTCTGGTGAACCAGTGGGGTTCCATTTATTGATATGAGTACCTTTTATCTCCCCAGATGGGTATTTAAATTCCAGAATATTTTACAAAATGAAATTCTTAGCAAATGTGTTCAATATTGTGCAAGAACAGCACAATTATATGTAATGTCCTTTATGGATAAATGCCTAACGAAAGCTTGTGGTGATGTTAGAAGTGAGTCCTTTGGCATACAGATTCATGGCTGAGATTCTGAAAAAAAACACCACTGATTTTAATGATACAGTGAGGAATATGGAACTGAAATATAAATGGTATTTGATATGGGAAACAGTGAAGGATGTTTCTTCTTTCCACACAGATCTCTACATGTACTTTTCTTTGGAAGCATTTTAAATTTCTCAAGAGGAAGGATCAGAAGGTATGGTGGTAAGAAAGTGAAGAAGTATGAAACAGTATTCTTTTCCCAAACTTCTCTATTCCTTCTGAAAAGACTAAGGAGTTCTCCTAAAATGACTGCAGTTTTTCTAACAATGGAGGAAAAAACCCCATCAGCTTTGCTGACTGTTGAAGTTTATACCTTTTCTGCAGTATATCACAAATACCACCTCCATTTTCATTGTTTTTTGCAGGCCTCCTATTGCTTTGGATCTATTCAGAAATATTCTAGGCAGACCATACCATCACAAGGGTTGCTGACCACAGTACTGAAATCCATGTGCAATTTTTTTCCAAGCCACAAGATTTATCCCTCCCACCAAGGCAGTATTACCCATTCATTTTCAACTCAATCTCCATTTCAAACATGAATGCTAAACCAGGAGCTCCAGATTGGCTTTATTTGAAATCCCCAGCTTTCCCCATTTTATAATTACTTCCCTACATTACGGCACACTGTTCATAACTGTCCTATTTCAATCAGCATCAAGTTAGGATCGTAACCGGTGCACTAGGATTATTTTTTGCACCACATAGTCAAGGCAATGCAGCAAAGAACGCAACGCTAACAAATCTCAGTTGCCCTGCTCCATGCTAAATTCCTTTAAAGAATTTATACTCGTTCCCATTTTAAATGCCTATGCATATTCATGCGTGGGAATTATCCACCAATCCAATACAAAGAGAAGTCTTTTTTAAAGCCCAGTGTTTGTAAACCTTTGTTTTTAAACTGCACAGGCAAAAAAAAAAAAAAAAAGCAGCAGGTTGGAAGTAAATGGAGGACTTGGAAAAGTAATGGTTGGAAAAAAAATATCAATGAGAAAAATGGAAATGTTCAGATAGGGAGGGCCGAGTTTAATAATAGTAGTAATAATAATAATAATAATAATAATAATAATAATAATAATAATAATAATAATAATAATAATAATAATAATAATAATAATAATAATAAAAAATAATAGGAGAAGGAAGAATAGTCCCAAAACAACTGGAGCACCACTTGAACACCATTGACATTGACAAATTTGCCATCAGTCAATTGCAGAAGACAGCTTTACTTGGAACAGCTTCCATCCTGCACAATATCTGTAACACCATCAAACATCCAGATTTGCCTAACCTAGGACCTTGGTAAAGACTGATAGGTAGACAAAAATGCCAAACCCAGTCTGGACATCTGGCTGACTGTGAAAATAATAATAATAATAATAATAATAATAATAAGAATAAGAAGAAGAAGAAGAAGAAGAAGAAGAAGAAGAAGAAGAAGAAGAAGAAGAAGAAGTAGAAGAAGAAGAAGAAGAAGAAGAAGAAGAAGAAGAAGAAGAAGAAGAAGAAGGGATTTGGGCAGCTAAATGCTGGAAAAGTGAGCTTTGGAAAGCGCCAGCTGGATACCAAAAAAAGAGGAAGGGCCTCTTTCTTTCTTTCTTTCTTTCTTTTTTTCAGAAAGAGCCGCAGGGAAAGAAGAGCCAGGCGGGAGCCCACAAGCCTTTTGTGCGGAAAAGTCGGGCCAAGATCCCCTACCAGGTTTCCTCCTCCTCCTCCTGGAAGCGCTGCTGCTCTTTTTCCTTTTCTTCCCGGCCGTAGCTCCCCAGCCTCCGAAGATCCAGGATTTCCACCTCATCCAAAAGGCTGGCCGGGGGCAGAAGGATGGAAGGGGCGGCGAGGGCTTCGTGGGGTGCCCCGGTGGGGGATGGCTTGAAGTAGACGAAGGGCTCGGCTTGGCATACGAGAGCCGGCGCTGGGCTCGACCGGCCGGCTGGAGGGGAGCTGCTGCGGGGGACTGGGGAGGCGGCGGCGGCGGCAGAGGCTACTCGGGGCAGAGGGCTGCTCGGGCTCGGACCAGGCGCCGAAGCAGGGCAAGGGGTGGCAGCGGCTCTATTGCGCAGCTGCTCGTTTTGCTTCTCCAGCTTGCGCACCAGCTCCTGCAGCTTCTTCACCTCCAGCTCGGCGCTCACGGCACCTGGCTTCACCTCCGCCACCATCGGTTTCACCAAAGCGGCCTCCATAGCCGGAGGCGCCCTGGCAACGACCGCAAGAGAGACGCCCTTCTTCGGCGAAAGCGATCCTCTGCAGGCAAAAGGGCGCTTCTCTTTCCCCCGGGCACCTCCAGCACAGCCAGCCAGCCGCGCAGCAACAAACAGCAAACCCCAGCAGGAGCGCCGCACCGCGCGGAGCCTCGGCGGGCAGGCACCGCGCAAGCGCAAGGAGGAAACAAAGCAGGGCGGGGAGACACCTTGCGCTGCGCAGGGCGGGGCGCGGGTTTTTTTTTGGGTGGGGGGGGAGTCTCGTGCCCGAGATGAGGGAGGCAAAGCGAAGGGGTGGCGGGAGGTGGCGTGGGGGGGTGGGGCGGGTACGGGGAAGCCCTCCCGGGCTTCTCCTTTCCCGTCGTCGAGCCCCTGGCGAGGATGCTCTGAGGCGTTTCTTTTCGAGGCAGAAAATAAATGGCGCGGGGATGGGCGGCGGGGGGGATTGTGGCTTGCTCGATTCGAAGCGCGTCAACCGTTTCTCTTCTTGTACATGGATACTGTACATTCCGAACTAGACTGTGTTGTTTCTCTGTGTCATCGAATATATGCGGGGTATATGCATAATTTTGTATTTATTTGTTCTGTCATGGTTATGTAGTGTATAGTGGAGGTGGTGACCCTTGGAGAGCTGTATGCAATGACAAGATTTGCAACGAAGACAAAGCTATTCTATTCTATTCTATTCTATTCTATTCTATTCTATTCTATTCTATTCTATTCTATTCTATTCTATTCTATTCTGTCATAGTCCATTCCATTCTATTCCTATTCCTTTTTTTAAATAAAATTTTATTTCAGTTTTCCACATTTTAAAAACATCTCATCTTAGTGAACAGCATTATTCCAGGTTTTCACATTTCCATACAAACATGACTATAATTAGATACTCATCTTTCACATTTAGTTTCATATCTTACCAATACTTTACATATTTTCTATTTTTTTTCCCAAATACTTTCCTCCAGCTTTGACCTTAAATAACTCTCATACCTTCATTTCATTATACTTTTATACCTTTTATCTGTCGGGTTTGCAATTTCATTATTTCACAAACTTTAATTCAATTCAAACATTTCAAAAAGATTTCCCTCCACAATTACTAATTTGAATGTGCCACCCCTATAGCTTTCCTATTCCTTACTACTCTACTCTACACTCTACTATACTCTATACTTGTTGTGGTTAGCCGGCAGCAGGTGCAGATGGCTGAGGAGAGCGAGGACTCTGATGAAGGGTCAGGACCATCAGGGAGTGGACTGCTGCCTTCAGAGATTGTGCGGGCTGGCAGCAGTGATGAGGAGGTTCCCGAGGAGCCTGTGCCAAGTGCATGTGCACAAAGGATTGCTCGGAGGAAAGAACAATTACAACAGCACAGGCGACTTGGGAGTAAGGCTGCAAGGTAATGGCCCCTCCCTCAAGAGGATAAAAGCCAGGTTTGGAAAAGCGTTCTTTGCACACAGCAAACTAGCTCTTAAGCTCAACTGGTGGACATCTTAGTTCGTGAATCTTGTAAATTAGTTCTTATCTCTGGGTTTTTGACAGCCTTGGCAAGGCTCTTTCTTGTAGGAGATAATTGTTGGAAAGCAGTCTTTTATGTGTAAAGGAAGAACATTCATGATTAAACCCTGAAAGGTGGGGGCTGCTGCCTTTGTCTGTGTTTGCTATCTGGGAAGCCGGTTGGGTCAGAACAATACTCTATTCTATACTCTACTCTACTCTACTGTTGTGATATTTCCTGACAGTGAGAACAATTGGCTTGCCTCCAGAAGTTGTAAGTGCTCCATCACTGGATATTTTTAGGAAGAAATTGGATAGCCACTTGATTGAATGGTGTAGGGTCTGCTGCCTTGAACAAGGGATTGGACTAGATGAGATCACTTCCAATCCTGTAATTCTATGATCTAAATTGACTAATCTTGTTGAGGAAGGGAACCCTATCTTCAAAAATGTCCAAGTTGCTATATCCCAAAACAGAGATGCCATAGTTGAACCGACAGAGAAAAAAATATCAAACTCCAAGTAAACCTGCTTTTGACATGAGCCAAATATGAGCCAGCAGTGTGTGGCAGCAGCCAAAAAACAACAACAACAATGCAATCCTAAATTGCATGAAGGGGTTGAATCAAGATCACGTGAGGTACTAGTACTGCTCTATAAAGCCTTGGTAAGACCACATCTAGAATACTGCATCCATTTTGGTCACCATACTATGATAAATACATTGAGACTCAAAAGTGCAGAGAAGAGCTGCAAAGATGATTAGGGTTCGGGAGGCTAAAACATATGAAGAATGGGTACAAGAATTGGCCATGGCTAACCCAGTGGAGAGAATGACCAAGTGACATGATCACAGTGTTCCAATATTTGAAGGGCTGTCACACAGCAGAGAGGGCCAACTTGGTTTCCAAAGTACCCAAAGGTTAGATAAGGAACAATGGATGGAAACTGATCAAGGAGAAATTCAACCTAGAAATAAGGATAAATTTTCTGACAGAACAATCAACCAATGGAACAGTTTGCCTTCAAAGTTGTAGGTGCTTTATCACTGGAGGCTTTCAAGAAGAGTCTAGGCAGCCACTTAGGTCTCCTGCTTGAGCAGGAGGTTGGACTAGATGACCTACAAGGTCCCTTCCAACTGTTATTGTGTTAAACATGGCAGATTCATCAGCAGATTCTGTTTGAGTACAGGAGGACTGAAAATCAAGATCAAACATCATGTGTTGCAAACTAGTAAATGTATGTATATATCACTCTTATTAGACTCAATAGTGAATGATGGGGCTCAAAGAAAGCAATGCTTTATTCCCTAAACCAATTACTTCAATGTCATTACTATGCAATTGACTTGTATTTAGTGGAGTGGCTGCCTAGCAAGATGGGCCATAAGTGAATATTGCTGACATTCAAACAGTCTATAATCCCAAGTATGCTTTTCAAAATAAAGGCATGCCGTCCACTTTTCTAATATTTCCAAAGTGCATATTTTATGGGGTGCAGATCATTCTACTCACTGAGACGTTACATCAAGATGCTACTTTAACTGAGAAATAAGGAGTGGATGCTGGTGCCTGTGGCTGGAAAGGTAATAAATCAGTCTGTGCTTGGCAGAAACTTATTTCGATCATCAACTTCAGGAAGAGAGAGGAGGTCAGATTGCAACTGAACCTGTGGAGGCAGAAATAATAGACACCTTTGGAAGCTTGCCAGGTTGAGAACAGAAGGACTTACTGAATACATGAGAGAACCTTACACAAACTATAATAATAGTGCTCAAGAATCCCTCCAGCAAAACTTAGGATGCAAGATACATACATGCATACATTTATTTTATTTTATTATTTATATGAAACCCATCTTGCTGTTTGAGGCAACTATGAGAGGCTTACATATCAACAGGTTTATACCAAATATGCCCGGAACCAAAACCAACAGTGTGTATGAAGATACTCAAGGAACTTTAAAGTCAATTGAACATGTGAAATGGTGAGGAGATGATTCAAATGCCCATAGGAATAAAGCTCCAGAGGCCAACAGCTATGTCGCACTCCAACACAATAATTTTGTAAGAGAAGTACACAAAATAGTCTTCAGAACCAAATCCTAACTGAAGTTAATCAACAGTGTTGACAAAAATCTAACATGAAGATATCTGCAATCAAATGCATGATGTCTTGGAACATTGCTGGCTGCATGGACAAATGTATAAATGCTTTTTTTTTGCACTTTCTACAGAGTTATTACATGTTTTTTTCTCCAGAAAACTTGGCTGACGGGAAATAATGTTGGTAAAATAGGTGGCCACAGGTATTTTTTTATAAATGGGCCAAGAGTGACTGAAAGAGTGGCTGAGGGGTTTAATGAGCATTATACCTTGATGTAAGAATAGAAGAAATTATTCTGGAAAGTTATGATATATAGTAGATAAAATTCAAATAATGAGGATGAAATCAAAAGAGAAAAATGTTAATTTGTATACCGTATTTGCCGGCGTATAAGACGACTTTTTTGCCCTGAAAAACATGCCTCCAAGTGGGGGGGTCGTCTTATACGCCGGGAGGACTCCGACTCCCACTTCGAGCTTGAGTTGCAGCCGGGAGGGAGGCTGGGGGGGGAGCGGTGTGTGTGTGTGTGTGTGTGTGTGTGTGTGTGTGGCGGGTGTCACTCGCCACGCGCTGCGCAACCTTTCCCCCTCTTCCTTCCTTAGCGGTGTGGGGAGGAGAGGATTCGAAGATCCTCACGTGCGGCGTACTTTTCTTTTTCTTTTTTTCTTTTTGCACGCAGGTTTTGCATGCGGGCGGCTGTAGGTTAAGGATGGGGGAGCCCCCGGGTGGGTTATCAGGTTTTACGGTGCTTCCAACATGTGCGAACGGTGGGAGAGCGGAGAAGAGAGCGAGCGAGCGCCCCGCTGTGTGAAATCCTGCCGTCAAAGCAACACTGGGGGAGGGCGGGAGGGGAAGAAAATTGTAGCTGGATCATTTCAAATTTCACTTACTCTCCTGCCTCACTTCAATATGTCTGAGCGACTCCAGATACTGGAAGACTTTTTGAATGAAAGTGTTACCTCCATATATTTTTTTAAAGAGGGCCACTTGGGGAAAAAAAAAGATTCTAAGGAATTCCTTGTTTCTTGATTAAAGAGAAGGC